TTTCTCTACATTCTTTGGGTTTAATAGATCAAACAAATTTGCCCTGTACCTTTTCCATTTTGACAATGCTTAAAAAACCATAAAGCAAAACATTTATAAAAAATGATGAGTTTTATAACTGTAAATTCAATTTAATTTTGGTTGTATAGCTGAAAAATTTTAAAACCTCTAATCAGTCCTTCAGAGTAATTACCATGTATTTTTTTCACAAAACAATATTCATAGGTACCAAATTTTACAAGCTGTCACTTTCAATAGTGATACAGTGGTGAAAAGCAAGTTATATTCAAAATGAACTTTGCATTTTCTCAATGTAGCAACTAATATTATGCTAAGATATGACAATGAAATTTGCTATAATTATTCCTGAATGTCATCACAAAAAATGATATAGAATTTAATCAGGGATAGAACTGGTCAAGTCCACAAGGTTCAAAGGTCAAAGGGTTAAAAGTTTCCTCACTCTTATGATACCAGTTTATGGAAGTAGGTTAACCTGTTTCATCATCATTTATTCCTTAATTGCATGACAAAAAATTGTTACAACTTTGGTCTTGAAGTAAAATAAAATGTGAATAATCAAGTATTGTAAAATTTAAAAAATAAATTATTTCCAAAGAATAAAAAATGACAATTTAAAAGAAAAAATCTTTCAGCATTGTGAACTGAATTCCAAAAAACCCTAAACATTCTATCACAAGTCCAAAAAGAGAGAATATCCTGAATGAATCCCAATGGTATCTGAATTCTAATCTTGAATGTGCTGATGTATCAATACCTTAGAAAAGTACTGGTGTGGCAACTGTCTTGATGTAATTATATACTGGTAATTTAAAATGTTAAGTTAATGAATTCAAAATAATCCCAAAATAGTGATTTAGTCCTCAAGTTAGAGCACTTTCTAATTCTAATGATTAATTTAAATAAATAATCATAAAACTGAATGCAACTAAAAGATTGATTTTACTTCAGATAGGAATAAAGAATTTCTGATTACTTCTTCTTTATAAGAAATACAAAGACAAAATATGAGGACCAGGCTGAGAGTCAAAATTCTATTTCCAGGACATTCTTAGTTGTACTATAATCAGGTCTCTTTCTAAACTTAAAAAGTATTGCAAACAACAGCTAGACCCTGAATTCCTGAGGAGAGAACCAATGTCTTTAACTTAAATCCAAATAAATATTGTTACCTACAAATATCCATAATCTTGATACCAAATCAACCATCACAGACAGAAATAATCTATGTAATATGTTGTAAGTGCAAACTTCAATCCTCAATTGTGGACAACCCATAACTTTCCAAACTTGTTATGAAAAGAGAAAAGTGTTGATCTTATAAAAAAAATTTGATTTAGATGAATAATGGGGTTAATTGGGTCTTAGAATACACAGTTAGGCTTTTTTTATGACAAATAATAGCTCTTCATAAATATTTTCACTTCCTGAACTAAAAAGGTGAATTGTAAAAATTTAGATATAACTTTGTTTTAATTTTTTAAAATTCAAAATTACAAGTGAACTTGAAAAAATATGTTAAAGCATACATTATGCAAATTAATATTTGTAATTCAAGGACAAGCAAAATTAATGTAGATTGGTCTTTTTCAAATATATTTCCCAAGCAAACCCACAGCAGCCATTTACATGGGCTTCAGATGGTATATAGTTTTCATAATGGTGATCAAAATTAAATTTCAATCCATGTAAATGAATGGTAACTTTCCATACACACAAGTTTACCTTGCACTTTGCTTCCCATCAGTTGTGATCCAAATGTTGTTTTCTTTTACTAGTGTCACACATAATGACAAGTCAAACCTGCCACATCAAAATGGAGATTATTGCATGCACTTTATCTTAATCTTCACAGCTGACACCATAACTCTACCAATGGACATGTAACTTATGGACACTCACTTCTATTCTTTACTTTGGTTACATATTTTTTGAGAAATGAAACACAATTTTTATAACCATTAAGATATGCATTTTTTGTGTATATAACATATTTTGCAAGCAAAATTAGGAAGTTAATATCATCTTCAATATTAATTCCTATAAATATGTCTTTATGTGTAATTCTAAAGTTTGGATCATAAGATTGAAAACATTAAATAATTTCCAAAAGATTTAAGTAACTAACCAGTCATATAATAAGTGCTCAATTTGTTTTATTCATCCCATTTAATCCTTTCCAAACCTGATGGATGGAAATATTTCTATGAAAAAATAGGAAGTTAAAGCTAGTCAGCTTTATAACTTTTCTACAAATCTGAACCAAAACACTAATTTGCACACCCAGAAAGTTTCTTGTTTACCATATTGCTTTTGTATCTTCGTTCTTACCAGGCCCTGATAAACAAATGTTTGTTGCTTTTGCCCAAAATAGTGAAGTTTTGTTAAAAATACATGAAAACTATTACCAATTTTTTTAAAACAAAACTTTTAATTTTCTTGTTTCACTGTTTTCTTAGTATATGAAATGATTAATTTGTGGGTTTTTTTAAAATTAAATTATCAAAACTTGTCAGAGATCCATGTGGATTAAAAACATGTTGAATATGTTGTCAAAATTTTCATTCATGACCAACCAAATATCATGACCCAATATTGATATAACCATCCATTCTGCATAAATTTTTAAGATGGTTACCATGGTGGCCATATTGTATACCCATGCAGCACCAGTTTCCTTTAAGATTGAATGACATCATAAGAAGTCTTCTGGATGAAACTGCCATGTCAATACGACTTTCTGTTTGGGTGCTGTAGCAAAACATACATGTATTTTCAAGATGGCTTCCATTGTGGCCAGATCAGCAACAGTTTCCTTTAAGACTAAAAGACATAATAAACTTGAATATGTGATGTGTATTTTTTAAAGTGCTTCACCAATTTTTCAGTCATATCACTTTGATGTATGGCATGGCAGTTTATAGTGATATCTAGCACTGGAACATCATGCTGCAGACAAAAGCTAAACAAAATTATTATCAATCATTGCTTGAAAACAAAAAGAGCGACAAAAACTGCATTTGGAAAGTTTTCAATGAACTCACTGGAGGAACACACAAAGATCAGATAAATAAAATCCACTCACTTCTGGTAAATGACACCACAGTCACTGATGACAATGACATTGCAAATGTTTTCAATGATTTTTTTCACCAACATTACCACAAAGTTAAAAGAACCAGTGATTGAAAACAACTTTATTGAACTGAAAAAGTTCTGCAGCAGCAAAATCTCTAAGGAGGTATGTTTCTCCATCCCACCAGTCTCAAAAAACTTTGTTAAGAAATATCTCAGTGAACTTGATACTAAGAAAGCTACAGGACTTGATCAGATTGGTCCTCGACTCGTTAAATCTTCTGCCTGTTATTGTAGATAGATTAACATTCATAATCAATTTAAGTATTGCATCCTCATCTGTTCCCAAAATATGGAAAACTGCAAAAGTAACTCCTATTCACAAATCTGGCCCTAAGGATAATGCTGATAATCTTAATACTACCAAACTTGTCAAAATGGATTGAAAAGCATGTCCATGATTCATTCATATCATATTTAACCAAACACTTTCTGTTATACCCTAATCAATCAGGCTTTAGACAGAAACACTCATGTGAGACTGCCTTGATCTCCCTAACTGATAAATGGCTTCAAGCACTTGATCAAGGTAGAATAATAGGTTCTGTATTTGTAGTTTTCATGAAAGCTTTTGACATGGTAAATCATGAAATCATTTTGAAGAAACTGAAAATCTACCAATGTGATGAAAGCAGTTAGTTGGTTTACTTCAGACTTAAGTGAGAGAACACAACATGTTTATATTAATAATGTTCTGTCTGAACCTGAAACAATTAGATGTGGAGTACCACAATGCTCAATTCTGGGTCCATTACTGTTTATTTTATTTATTAATGACCTACCACTTGTACTAAAGGATCTCTATGCAGATGACACAACATTGTCAGACATCCAAAACACAAAACAAGAACTCGAAATTTCTTTACAGAATGCCTTAAACAAACTAGAATACTGGTGCACATGCAATGGCATGGTGGTTAATACTGGTAAAACTAAAATATTACTTATCTCAACACGGAAAAAAAGAACAAAACATTATAGTGATGAACTATGTCTGACATTGAAGGATAAAAGGTTGCAAATGGTCTGTCACGATAGTCTACTTGGTGTTTTGGTAGATAATAACCTATCATGGACTGAACATATCAAACATATCAGTTAAAAAGTCAATTCAAGTTTATGGCTTCTCAGTAGGATAAGACAGTTTCTTCCGGAAAAGCACAGAAAACTATTTTATAACAGTTACATACAACCCTATTTAGACTACTGTAATACAGTATGGGGTAATTCAAATGATAAAAACTTAGCAAAGCTGGCACATCTCCAAAAAAGAGCTTTTGAGTTAATATCAATCCAGAAAGAAAGGAAAATTTAGTTGGTAAGTTAAAAATACTACCTATTAAAGACCGAATCTGTTTAAGAAAAGCCAAATTAATGTACAGGATAGCCAATAATAATGCTCCTGAATATTTACAATCACTATTCAAGTATAGGCTACCTAGAAATACTCCCCACCTGCGATCAATGTCTACCAAACATTACAAAATTCCCAAACCAAATAAGGAATTATTTAAAAAAAAGTTTCCAATACTCTGGAACTTTGCTCTGGAATAATATTCCAGTTGAGATTAGAAATGCCCACTCTATTTCTTCTTTCCAAACCCAGTATATACAATGGCTTCACAGATGCAGCAAAAATAAATAAATTCCTTTGAATGAGGGCCTCAAGGTAGATTAGTTCTTAGCTAATTGAGTTACCCTCTTCAAATAAAGTCATAATAATGAAGCCATGTCCCACCAAGTCACATTATCCTAACACCAGACTGACCAGTCCTAACACTAACCTCTTAATGCTAATAGCCTAGTGAAGTAGCTGTTAGCACTACTTTTATTTGTCTTTGTTAAGACTTGGTCAGTGTTCAAATCTGTGACCTCCTGCATCCAAGGCAGATACTGTAACCACTAGGTCACCAGAGCGGTCAACAAAATAAGCCTTCTGAAGAAAATACCATGTCAATGTTATTTTTTTGTTCAGGAGAAGTAGTGATAAAAATAATTTCAAGATGAATGCCATAGTAGCCATACTGAATGTCAACATTTAAATGCAGACCACATAGACTACACAAGTCATTTAGTGAAACCACATGTTGACCATCCATTCAGAAGTAGCACCAATCGCAATCATTATGGTGGCCAACTTCATTTTGAACCAGACAGACCATGTGTGTGAAGTTCATGGTAATCCTTCCTGTAGTTTAGGAGTGGTTAAAACAAACCTATTCTAACAGACTGAAGGATGAAGGACAACAGGCCATCCCATAAGCTCTGGCGGATTATCCACTATCTAGGTAAAATGGACTGAAAATCATCTGCAAGTTATATTGGTGGAAATGCTCTATCTGTCCCTTCATACATGTGGAGATTAAAAAAAAAATCCTTTCTTCTTTTATGATTATGTAATTACATCAACATAGAGACTTTGGCCATCTTGTTTAGCTAGTTAATTTTTGGTATAATTGACAAACAAATGCATATGGAATATCCCTAAATATGTAGGAAGACTATGACAGCAAGCATAATGAGATGTCATATTCTGCATACTTTATTTAGAAAGAAACTCAGTTTAACATAAAAAAAAAAACTTAAGAATAAAAACATGTATAACTAAAAAGTTGCCATTAGCAAGATTACAGACAGCAAACACAGAGATCATAAATCATTCATTTGGCTACTTGTCCAGCAGGGCAAGTAGCTTAGAACTTTTATTGACCTGTATCTATTTTACTCATTCTGCATATTTTACAATGATGAATCTGCTTCAAATACTACCTGCCAAACTCACCTTAACTTTGATTCAGTATTTGAAAATTCCACTTGTTCACTCTATTTCATATCTTCAATTAAGGGCTTTACATTATTTGAAATTATTCAAACAGCAGTTGGCCATAAGATTCAAAATATACATGTAACACATGGCATTTGGTAATTTCACATAAAAATACTTCACTTTCCTCTTCCCATGACATGCTAGAAATCAGTGTCCTCTGGAAACAAATATCTAATTAGATATCCATATGTTGCATTAATGACTCCCCATGATATGAATGCTCGTGTGTAGTTAATGTGAACACCTCTATATACTTTTGTCAGTTTCCATTCTCTTTCAGAAAACAAAACATAAGATGTCCGAATAAATCCATCAAAGGGACCACCAACCTGTGCTTGCATTCGCACTTTTACAACATTAATTGGATATGATATTGTACTAATTAATGCACCTAACAAAGCACCACTAATGAAGTCAAGCATGACTTTGCTGGTTTCCTTTTTAAAGGATGGGTAGGAGGCAATGATGTAATCTCGAGTCATGAAGAAAGCCACATTGCTGGGACCATTTCGAAGTAATATTGGTGTTAGGCCCCGATAATATTCGCAAAGTCCGTACTTATACAGTTCTTTAACTGCATGGACTGTGTTACTATACTTATTGTAGTTTCTTTTGTCTTGCATGAGAACCTGAACTCTCTCAAATGGAGTTAAAATTGCTTCAACTGTACCAGCTATCATACCTGCCGTAACTTGTTTTACTGGTAACCATACTGTTGGAAAATGATGGTTCAACTCACGCTGAAAATGATAGTAGAGTCCAAACATTAAGGACATTGATGTTGATTTCTGCAGAAATGGAGAGAGCAATCCACGATACAAATTTCTGATTCCTTCCTTCTTCATCTGTCTTACAGCTTTCATTGCAGACATTCCACACAGCTGTTGGCGAAACATTACTTTATTTATAGGGAAAGTTACTGTTACATTAACTACTGCTGCTCCCCAGCCACATATAAACTCCCGCCATTCCTTTATCTGTTGCTGTATTGGCATTTTATATGGTATGAAACTAGGAATTGGTGTATCAATGTAGGAAGGATTTGCTTCCTTTTCAAGAACACCTTTCTGTCCATCCATTTTTAGGTATGTTCTTATTACAGTAATTTGGAAAAACTTCTTGGTCTAAGAATTGTGCCACTGAAAAATTATAAAATAAATGATGAATCAAGGAATAAAAAAAGTTCAACAAACATTGATTTTGATGATGTATTAAAGACAGAAACAAAAACATTTGTGAATCAGGTATATTTTGCCTCCTTCATCCTATGAAATTTTAGTGAATATCTTTTTCTGTCTCCTCCATTTTAAAATAGCTCTAAGAACAAGTTTTAAAAAATGTTAGAACATGCTGTCCCCAAAGAGAAATAGACTAGTTCATATAAATTGTGGATTGGCTGTGTAGACTAAGTTTGGCAATTTGAATCGGGTTAATTAAAATTTTATCACACTATGATTAATGGATGCTTGAGATCTGATTTACTGGATAAATTAAGGAAGCTATAGGAATCAAACCCAAAACAATACTGAAATGCAATTAATATTATTAGACAGAAGAAAAAGAGGCAGGATGTATTAAAGTTTTATGAATACTGCAAAGATCTTAACAGACTTTTGATTTGGCAAATGAACATTATATTAATGGAACATTATCTGCTGAAAACAAAATAATAAACGGAGATATTACTATTAAAAAAAGTTCACAAGACTTTTTGACATCTTAAAAATAATGAAAATAGATAACTCTACACACGAGTATATAAAATATACTAAACCCATTTTTCTACATTTATATACTGATGCCGTTTTAAATCTAACTTTAAACTATACCTTTTTCCCACAATCACCAGTTATGAGATAATACATGCAACAAATATATCAAAGTCCCGTGAAGAGGTTAATTCTTTATTGACAGAAAAGAAATTTCCAGGATTTCAAGACTGTTTCTTCTTTTTCGCTGCTGAATGGTGAAACCATCTTAAATATTCTTGAAATAAATATGACCACCAAGTCAGGAGGAGTTGCAATGCTCGCATTTTCAAGATGGCCACCATAGCAGCCATACTGGATGCAAATTGAAAGTAATATCACACCACTTTTTAAAGAATTGGAACTAGATCTCAAAAGCTGTCTCTGAGGCTCCCCCAGGCATATATTTGTGATTCCCTTACTTTAGAAAGGATAGAAAGGAAAATGAAAAAATTCCATCATCACTATTATATTTCAAATTTATATTAAATTCTCAGTCTTGTAAGAACACACTAAATAGAAGCTTTTCTACAATGCATGTCCACATTTTTTATTTATCTTATTGCACTCTTCCTTCTACAAACTAGGTTTTTCAAAAGAATAAGTTTCCATAAACTTTCATTTTCTTTGACTTTGAAATCAAGTTCTGGATGCTTCTCTATTATTCTGATTAATATTTTCACTGTTTCAGTCTACTGAACTGTACTGCATTAGAGTCATCATTTTTTACACAATTCCAATAGTTGTATGCCTATTTGTATAGCATGGTAAATGTAAAAAACATTTAAATATCTGGGTTAAATTCAAGACAGCAGAAGGCTGATTGCTTTTGCAATTCCATTTAAAGTGAAACTATTTTTTTGGTGATCAACACTAAATCACATACAATGAAACAATTTTTGAAAATCCTATCATTAATGAAATGAAACATACATACCATGAAAAAAAATCTATTGCACAAATACATTTTCCAATCAGTAGTTGTTCATAAAAATACTATTCCTATCTGGAAAATTAACTTCCTGCCATAATAAGCATTCTGTCACTTATTCAACAAATAATAGCAACATGCTCAGCTTATAAGTGCATCAGAAACACTGTTTAGAATATTATATAAGTTTGATGTGTATTCATTGTTGCTGGTTCATTGTTAATTTGTGCAAATTTACAAGACACAATTCGGCATTCTCTTCAATTTTTTTTTTTCATTTTTAAGTGGCATTTCCAAGAGCAAGACAACATATCTGCTGACTAAATAACCATCAAACAATAATTGCAACCTGAATTAGCTCCATTTGCAATTTACGTATGGCCAAGTTTACAACAATATAAAACAAATTTAAGAAAATTTAATTTCATTTTCAGCAATACCCTACCGTATATACTGCTATTCTCTTACTACAGTTAAAAATTTCATAGGCTTATGCCTGTGGTTAAATCAAATATTTCTTTTCAGTAAAAAAACTGCATAATAGTCCAATGCTATATTATCGTTGGCATCCCGGCAAATGGAATTTTCCGATTAATTTTGGACATGCATCCAGTGGGTAGTTATGTATGTAAAGCTGTAGCCAGTAAGGATGCAAATATGTTGTAGCACTATTTCCTTTCAAATGTCAAAATTTTATAAGTTTACAATAAAATAGAATGAACTTTTTTGTAAAGTGCATGCAATTAAGTTGATCACCATATACAAAACTCCAGTCGAACTTGCTATACTTGTTCTGAACAGGACTTTCTACAAGCAGCAGCTACACCCCAGAGCCAAATCAATCCTAAACCCCTATAAACCCGATTACAGAGGCTCTGGGGTAATATCCCTACTACAATCAACACAACAAACCTACCTCCCAACAGAACAGAACCCCATAGACTTCTGATCCTGCTACGTCCTGGAATCATGCTCACCAAGAAATGATATTTCATTATACCTACAATTCATATATACCAAAATGGTGAGTCGTGGTTTTGGGGCAATCACATCAACAACTAGAACAACACACATGTGGAACTTCGCGGGTGTTGTTTTGGGGGTGGCTCTCCTGGCACTCTTGTCCTGCTGGTGGTTTGGTTGGTGTTTGAACTGTATGAACTGTGTTGAAAATCAAGGTCTTGAGGTCTGGTACAAAGCAATAAGGCCCAGCCCTGAACCAAGGGCCTCCACGTGGACCCGGGCAGATGGCTAACCACGGAGGTTAATGGAGACCCACCCTTTGGGTGGGATCTCTGGTCTCTTATGAAAATGAAGGGCTTTAAGAGTCGTCAAGCCACTGCACGTGCATATACGACTATAATTGCTAATGAATGAATGAACATAATTTTGGTAAATATTGCGATAATACAGAG